TTCCTCAAGATTTAGGTTCACCTAGAAGATTTAATGTAACATAAAGTAACAAAAAATAGTTCTAATTAGGAAACACAAAGGAACATTTTTGTTATATATATCTGTATTATGAGTAGTGTTGTACATAATTATTCATCTAAGAAAAGGCAAGGAATTATTTTTTCCGAATAATACAATAATAATTTTAAATCAATATATTTATTATATAAATAAGTATTTTTTTTAAAATTACAATATATTTTTTTCATCATACGCATAAACATATAGTTAAAATTATATATATAAGAATTCCAAAATGTATAATATTTCAGAAGTATATTTATGCTTCAATGCGTGCATCTGCTATTATGTCTTACTATTTATTGTTAATTTTTTTGTATATTTTTGTTTTGGTACCCTTGTAACATGTATTTTTTTTTTGTTACATATATTATTTTGTGGTGATGATGAACACTAGCAGAATATATTATATGATAATAATTTAAGAATATATATTATATTAGCTATTATTTTTTATTCATATTTACTGAATATTGTGGTGTTTTTTTTTTTATTTTGTTCTTCTAACTCTAATTACTTTTCTCATAATGCATGTTACACTTAAGTAAATAACTGTTATATTTAGAATATATTTTTTCCCTTTAATATATACTATGAATTACATATGTTACAAATAAATTCATTTTTTATTAATATATATTTATTTAATAAATTTCAGTCTTTTTTAAAATATCCTTTAATTAGAAGTTGTTGTATTCAGAATATATTTCAATAGCAGATTTATTTTTGTTTTTCTTTTATTATTTAATTAATGGCTTCAAAATAACTGTAAATATTTTCTAATTATTTCTTCATTGCATAACTAGTTCTTATACTCTGTTTATGTGTAGACAGAAAACTTCATTCATATTCCATTCATAATCAGTTACTAATTGGCATTATATTTTTTCCAAGTATTGTTATCATTTCAAATAATTTAATTTTTCAATATAAACAAATACTTTTTGACAATATAGGGTATTTTTATTTAGTTTAAGGTAAATAGGACAAAAAATACGATTCAAATATGGTTAAAATATATTCACTATATCATAGTTTTATATTAAAAAAAAAAATGCATGCAGAAAAAGGGTTAATCAAAATTGAAATTGAATCGAAATATATGTATATTTATTTACTAAAAAAAGAAATATTTTAGTTTAAAAAAATTATAAAATAATTTCACAATATACTAAATAAACAAAAAATATCAATAAAATGTAAACTGTTGTAATGATTTATTATTATTACCATACGGTAATTAAAATAACAGCACAAAGTGTTTATAGTTATGAATTTAAAAAAGATAGTTATAATGTTCTACAATAATTTAAAACAAAAAAAATAATTAAATAGATGTTGAAAATACAAAACAATTAGTTAATACATACTTAACCTTTAAAAAAAAAAATGGTTAATGAATTTTTTAAAAACAACTATTGACAGTTATATTTAACATTCAAAAGGGCTATATGCAAATTGGACACTTCTTTCTCTTGCAACTGAGGGTTTAAATAGTACTCTCTGCAACTTTTCATTCATTTGCTTTCGTTTTTTTTTCATTTCATTTTTCCCTGTAAAGAGCATTCCTAATGTGGTATACTGAAAAAAATAACAATATTATAAAATGAAAATCTAATTGATATAAATAATTAAAAATATAAGCATAATTCTTTTATTATATCATATTTTAGTTTACCTTCATAAGCATTATAAGTAACAAAATAATTGACAAGGGAACGAAAGCCATTATAAAATATTTTTTATAGGGCATACAAACTTTATTTTCACTAGATTCTTTTGTGTCAATACCATTATCATTGGTGGTTGTAACCTCTATAGATCCATTTACACTTAAGCCATTTTCTCTTCCTACTATATATGTTACAAGAGTATCACCATTGTAAGATACTTCTGAAAATTCATTAGATATTTCATAATTTCAGTTAGTAGATGCAACAATGGTAAGTGAAATTTCATAATGAAATGTATATAAAAATACATTTCATCAGGAAGTGTTCCACTACGAATAACTCTCTAATTAGCACCATTAAGGTAGTTATTTTGATCAGAAATACACTCTACACTAGTACCTAAAAACAGATTGGCATTAGAAAGAGAATATTCATTACTAATAGAATTCTCATCTTTGGAAACTTCTTTATCATGCGATGGACTATCATTATCTTCAGATTCACCAGTTATGCTGCTAGTAACTTCGGGGGTTCCTTTTACAGTCTTATTACCTACAAGGTCAGTAACATTTTTAATAGAAGTTATATTAGTACTGTAAAAATAAATGTTTTGTGATTAAATGTTACTATATTTTATATTTCTTTAACAGCATTACATCCTTTATTTCTATCGATATGCTGGGGATTAACTTGAGGAACTTGTATTATACCTTGAACTGTATTATCACTTAAAGCACTCTCTTTTTGTGTGTTATCTGAATTAGTTTCCAAAGTATAGACTGTTTGTAAAGACTGCGCCTTTTCAATGGTGGCTAATATTACATCTGATAAATCATCTGTGAAAGATAATGATTCTGGTGTAGTTTGTGTTTTTACAGGTGTAACAGGATATTCATTAATTATTGATGAGTGTGTTTCCACTTTATGCATATCAAAATTAGCTGAATTTATTATTTCTTGCTGTTTATCACCTAGAATTTTATTTTCTGGCCTTTCCTCAATTTTAGTTGTACGAATTTCTTTGTGCCTCGAGAAGAAATACTTTCAGGATCTTTGAATTCAGAGGTAACATATTCCACATGGGGTTTCTTATTAAGTTCTTCTACCGCACACACTGTTATTACTTTAATAATACCATTTTCTTCATGTACGTTATTTGTATCTGATTTTATTGAGGCATTTTTTTCATTACCATATAAGGAATTCTTATTATATTTATCTTTATCAGCACATCTTTTACAAAAATTCTGTACCTCTTGTTCTATATATGAACCCGCATAGTGAGAAATTTCTTTAGGACACAGATCTTTTATTTTAATTACATTTTTATTTTGTTTATCACATTCTTTGCATAGATCTACACACTTACCATTATTAATATTGTGGCATGTTCCTTCAGTTTCTGCTAAAAATTCTAAATATTTTTCTTTGCAATCCTGAGTTTTAGATCGATGGCTATTATCTATGATAATAGCCACTGCAGGTTGCATTATCTCATTTTAATTTTTATCAGAGTTTTCTTTCTTTTCACTTCGTATGAACAAATAATACTATAAAACAAATTGTTATTATAAGTGGGTACATTTTCAAATGAGAATATAATATTTTTGTATCAAGACATTATATTAATATTACTAGGAAGGCACAAATAATTGTATTCATAAATGGCATAATTTAATTTATTTAAGACATCATTAGGATGCATTGAAAATAATTACATGAATAATTTGAAGTAATAATATTTGGAAATATAATTATTTATATGTATAGCAATAAAATAATTGAATGCACAAATATATATTTAATGAATATGTAATATTGCTATACATTAAATCCATATAGTATATAAGGAGTTATACGAAAAAAAGAATTATGGACATTAAAGGGTAGTAAATAAAATAGGAATTTAAAGTTTATAAACATTGATTACAAGAAAAAATTAATACATTAAATGTAAAAGGTTTTCATTTATGTGGCACTTAAAAATTAAATAAATTTTATTCTAGAAATTTTTTTACATATATATTTTTATTTTAATAGTAAGACACATTATATATTTAATATTTTCTATGAATTCATATAAATCCATCTGTTGTTTATAATTTAATTGCTTTTTTATAGGCAATGTTACTATTAAAAGTAAATGCTGTTATAATTTCGTTTTAAATAAAATATTCGATACTTACAGATTTGTTTCATTATTATTAGTTGATATATTTTGAATCCTATAATGCCGCATATAAAGACAAGTAATATATAATGCATAAATTATAAGAAGTTTTATATTGTTTTCGCAAAAACCATTTATAATTGAAAATCCCATATAATAGATAAAAGGATTAAGAAGTGGTATATTCTAAAATTCATAAATCTACAAATTTCCTGTGTGTATATGCTTTATTTTATTTTCTAGAAACATCTTACACATTACATATGTCTTCCCTTAATTGCCTACATATTTATATTTTGAGAATCATTAATTTTATTTAGGATATAATTAAAATACTATAATATAGATTAATTTAAACAAATATTAATATAATTAAAATTAATAGAAAAATTTATAAATACGCTATAAAGTTTTTTTAAAATTACTAACATATCTATAAAGAATATTTTACATATTCAGCAAAAAAAATATATAACATATATTACACATTAATCTCCTATAGTACGTCAATATAATATGTGACATATATAAGGATAATAGGCAAAATAATTTCATCCTATGTTATTCTAATAATATATTTGCAACATCTGCATTCAATAAGTAGAAATAAATGTTTATTAATTGTTCTTGTTCTAAATGGGAATATTATTATATTTTTTTAAACTATCAGTTTATTAATTTTTTTGTTGGATATATAAATTATTTACATTTACTTCATATATAATAGATGCAGCCTATATATGAAATATTTAAGCAAAATATTTTTAAAAATATGCATTTAAAATTAAGTATAATTCAAGTAGGTAGTTCATTAAAAGTTCATATTATAGTTCCTTTATATGATCATTTGAATGTCTTCGTATAGAGTCCTTTTAATTTAAGGTTATTTCAACGATTTTCGTACTAATGAATAATAATAATAATAATGTTAAATTGTAAAATCATGATATCATTGTCTTAAAGAACATTTTTAATAGTTTGAAAAAATCCTAACCTGGAATATTTGTTATTGGCATTAGGTATATTACATATTATTACAATGTAAAGGC